CAAAGGCACAAAATACACTCAAAACTCAAGAGAGTGGCTCACAAACGAACTAGGGTTTTCTGGAGACAAGGAGGCTGATAAGGGAAACCCTGAAAAGGGGTTTAAGATGTTTAAATAGGGTGCAAAACCCCGAGAATAGGGTTTCTTCTTGGCAGTCCTACTCGTCGAGTCCATGCTTGGACTCGCCAAGCAGGCTTTTTAAATCCCGCGACTTTTAAGGCATTTACTCGACGAGTTAGGGCTACCAAATCGTTGAGTGGCTCAATCATAAACACTTGAATAAATAAAGAATTGCGTACTAGGAACGGGCGTTACATATAAAAAATATCGTACGATGAAGATGGCGAAGACGAAGACGACATTGTTTTTTTTATAGAAATGATAGTTTGTGTGTATGAAAAGTTGAAAGTATAGTGTTATATATAGTGGTTGAATTGATGGTGATTGTGATAATATAAATTTTCTTCATAAATATCATCTACCAATCATGATTGTCTTTTTATCCCTCAAGAAGTTTTACAATAAATATTTGTTTATATGATCGTATCATGACGTATATAAATATTCTTTATTGCTTTATACATTTTTTGTTTAATAATACAAAACAAATAAGTAATGTTTCAGTATATATTAATAACAATTAAATAAAACATATAAGATTCATATATATGATTAAATAAGTCTGCAATTAAATAAATATACTATACAGTGTTCTAAAAGGAGCGCCATGACGAGTGTCAAGGCGTGCCATGGCGTGAGGCGTGACTTCGCCATTACGAAAAGCCTCATAACGTTGCTGTTAGGCGTGACTCGCGGCAATGCATGATATAGCGTGCCATGGCACGTTATAGTGTGTTATGGTGCATGTTTTTTCGTTTGAGACACGTTTTTTTTGCTCTTTGTTATGTCTTTTCAAATCGGGGATACAAGTATTGTGTTTTTTGTTAACTTTTTGTTATTAGTTATTGATATAACACTTCTAAAAAGTAGTTATATTTAATATAAATTTATATTTATGTGGTAATATAATTATAAATTAATATCAAATCGCCGCCTTACATCACGCCTTGAAAAACGTCATGACTCGTTATGCTTGAGGTTTGGCCTTGTCGTCACGTCACGCTTCATGCCGTTTAGAACCTTGATATTATACACTAGTCCATACAAAATATAGACCGACATCACTTGATGATACGAAGTTAAGAAGATGCTATTAATGTCATAAATCTGTATTAATATGTTGTTGATAAATAAATATTTATTGTCTTTTCATCAATGTTATAATATAATATAGTTAGGATTTTTATTTGAAAATGAAGATGGTGTAATTAATATATATTCGTTTTTGTAAATGTTATAAATTAAATGTGGTCAATAAATTCTATTTTCTTAAAGACAAACACTTAATATTTAAATAAAAAATGTTACATTAATTTCTAACATAAAATACGATTAAAAATTTAAAACACGACTTACTTCCTAAATACTACATTGAAACACAACTTAATACTAGACGAAAAACATAAATTAAAATTGCATCTAATACATAAAAAAACTACAGCTTATCCCAATTGTATTCTTTAGCAAGATCCCGCTTCGCATTGTTAAAAATCTAACGATCCTCCTCGGACAAGTTGTCTCCCGGGGTTAAGAAAAACTTTAACGCACGATTCATTTCTTTTATCGCACAGTTCCTTTTTTTATCTTTCCCAAATTCCAAAAAACCCTCAAGCTTATTGTCCAACCCTTTGATGTCACTCATTATCTCCTCCACTTCAGTCGATGAACTTTGTGCTCCTTTCAACTTTCTTTTTGCTTTGTATTGTTCCATAGGACGAGTTGGAACTTCATATGGCTCATCATTGTTGAGGTCAATCCCTCCAATACGTGCATCAGAAGATTGACTATGGGTTGACTCCGAAGTTTTGTTTCGTTTGGACATCCCTGCGTAATCGCCAGGACTTTTCAGATCTAGTCATTTTCGATTACCCTTCACAACTCTCCAAAACGACTCATTGGCAAAAGCTTTTCCATCTTTTTCCTTATAAATCTTTCGAACTTTAGCCATGACATCCACCTCAATTGCACCATTTTAGGGGTTTTTGATCGCGTTCATATAGACGTTGTTGCACTCCATTGCAGCTCGGTTGGCGGTCCTCCACTTCGAGTAAAGTGAATCGGGGTTACGGGGCTTCTTTTTCATGCGGTTACAAAAGTTATGCCAAACTTTTTCTTTGAAAGTTGTTGATTCTTGGTCGTTGTCGTGGATCGGGTCCTCCGACACATCTAGCAATGATTGAGCTAGTGCACCCTCTTCATCATCCGTCCACCCTCTACATGGAGCCCTCCCTTTTCCTTTTATTTTTTGCTTGTGGTTCGACTTCGGGCTCTTGAAATGATTCTTGAACGGGATCTTCAACGGGGCCTTCATCGGAAGAACCAGTTGACTCGTCGAGTAGGCGGCGTGGTTGGGATTGAAAGTTAGTTTGCGGTTGAGGTTGAGAAAAGAATTGAGTTTGTTGAACCGTTTCAAACAGATCAATATCCACATTCGGACGAGGTGTTGGTTTAGATTGGTTGTGGTAAAATCTCATAGGTTGAGAAGAGAGCGGATTAAATGGAAACATTTGCGGAGCCATTGTATGAAAGTAGTAGCTAGCGGGAGAGTAAATTTGTTGATCAAATGATGGTCGATAACATGGTGGTGATGGAAGGTTTGGGGATGGAAGGTTTAGTGATTGAGTGTTTGGAGGTGGAAGGTTTAGTGATGGAAGGTTTAAAGTTTTTTTTTTGGGTTCTTGGGGTTTTCTTTGTTTGAGATGAAGACATTTTTCCTTGGTAAATTGAGAGGGTTTGTGAGAGAGATATGATATTTTGTGTGTGTAAATTGTTGAGAGTGTGGTTTGATTTATAGTAGTTGAATATTATAACTTTTAAAACAAAAAACGTTTTTTTTTAAAGTTGTTGAAATGTTTAGTTTTTTTAATTTTTTAAGTTGTTGAATGAAAGTTGGTAAATTGTTGTTGAATTAAATTCAACATATTGAATTCGGTCAAGGGGATCAATATTGAATTTGGTCAACATATTGAATTGTTGTTGAATTAAATTCAACAAATTTAATACGGTGAAGAAGATAGCAATCCTTGACAAACCCACTTCCACCAATGAGCAAGTTTTATGTGTTTCTCTCTCTTCTCGCCAAGCTAAAGACGAGTGACCTTTAGCGAGCCCCCTATCGAGCGCTAGGGGTGGTATTCTCGGCCTCATAGCGAGTGTAGCGAGCCCCCACTCCGTTCAGCCTAAGGCTAGAGGGAGTGGTAACACTCTTAGCACCTTGCCACATCATCTTTTTGAGTGTCACATCATTTTTCTCTCTTAGCACCTAATTCTTAGCATTTATGAGAGAATTGTAACACTCCTAGCACTCCATTTTTTTATTTTCTTTTTCAAATTTAATTATATTTATTTTTTAATACACAAACAATTAATATTAAACAAAATTTATTTTTTTAAATAAAAACACTTTAAATATGGAAGCTTATACTTTCTCACCAAGTTGCTGAAACTCTGGAGATCAAATGTGTAACTTCCTTCTCTTCTTCCGCAATTTTCTAGTTAAAAGGAACGCACAGAAATGGAAGCTTATACTTTCTCACCAGCTTACTTTCTCATTGTGGAAGTCTAAACCTTATGTTATTTTTATATTAGAAAAAGGAAACTGAAGTCAGCCAATCACAACCCTTTCTTTTCTCTTTCTCATACTCTTTCTTCTCGCTGCCAACCAGCGAGCCTTACTTAACGAGGCAACTAGCGAATTCAATGGAAATCGTGGAAGCGAGTTGGAGGCGAGCTTGGATAGCGTGCCACTCCCTCCAGCCTAAGACACCAAAAAAAGATGTTAATGTAAAACTAATTTTTTTTTTAAACTTTTTTTTGTCATTTTCCCAAATAAAAATGACGTGTATAAAAGCTTACTCTGTGCATAAAGTTGAATTGCCAAATCAAAAGAAAAAAATTGACCACATTGCCTTTGCTTTACTTCTTTACGAGTGTGGGTCAAAAGAATAACACCACAATTTGATTTTTTACCACTTTATCAAAAGAATAACACCAATGTGGCTTATATACTAAAAGGGGAAATTGAGACAGCATAATTCATCCGATTAATCCGATTCAACCAATCCGAAATTAAAGTTCAGGTTTCAAATGATTTTTTTTGAAAAAACCCGATTAAGACAATCCATTTAACCCAAAACCAATTAAATTGACAAGATTAACGACCCTAGATGGGCGACCATTTATGTAATTACTTTTAAAACTAGAAATGCACATTGACAGTCCCAGACCCGATCTCGAGTCGGTCTCGAATCAGGTCATTTTATGGTCCAATCTTCTTTCGATTCTTTGGTTTTGGGTTGTAACTAGTTCATTAACAAATATGCGATTAACACCAAATAACAGATTAAGATTTATTACAAATGATACATTAAAATTTAATAAAAAAGAAAAGAAAAGAAATTAAATAATGTGTGACTAAAAATTATGTAGTTAACAAAAAAAAATAATAGTATGTTTATAAGTTAAAACTTTCAGTCTCTTTTTAAACCGTCTTCAGATCGGTCTTGTGTCGTGTTGTAATGGTCCGGACAAATACTAGCCCAGTCTTTTTTTTTTGAGTCCGATCTCATTTTACACAGATTCAACCAATAAAAAAACCTTAAAAATCAAGGGGTTGACTAAAAAGACACCCCATTTTTCCACTTAGACATCCTATTTGATTTTTAAGGTTTTTTTATTGGTTGAATTTGCATTGTTTTTTGAAAAAGTAAATAGGTTGACTTTTATTTATAGGGTGTCTAAAGGGTGTCTAAATGGAAAATTATGATCTTTGATACTAAATTAATAAATTAATAAAGTAACTTAGGAGAGCTTCAACCTCTAAATTTGGAAGTATTGATGTTTCAGAAAAGCTGAGCTGGGCAAACGTAAAACAGTAAAAGGAAGTCTTAGCATAGGGAAGTCCGTCATTTTCATCATATACTTTGCAGACTGCAGTCATCCACCCCCCACACTCACCAGTCACAACAACCTCAATTTCAGTGAGATCATCTCCTTGGATTCCATTTCCCTCTCATACACCTGCAAATCAAAGCAACCAAGCGCATCAATGGCGGCATTTGAGCTCACCAAATCCAAACAACAAGTCTCCACCATGTTAAAACAAGGCTTCATCTCTGACTTCTTCCTTTCCCCTCCACCATCTTCTTTCTCCTCTTCTCCCTCCAACCCCACCCAACCCATCCAAAGCCCGATCCGATCCGCCCCCAGCCCCACCCTCTTCGAGATGATGACTGAAGAACAGACCCGAGACTCCAGCAGACCCTCCACACACCTACAATCCTTCGACACTGCTAGAATGCGGATCGAAGAACGGGTCTCTAGGGTTTTATCTGGAGCCCCGTTTAGAAACCCTAGTGATTGGGGGTTAGGGTTTGGAGATGTGAAGCTTACAGTCACGGCTCGTGATGGTTTCAGTGTGTCCATGGATGTACACCGGGAGGTGTTGGCCAGTCGTAGCCAGTTCTTTAAGGAGAAATTGGGCCGGAGGAGTGGCTCCCACCATTCTGTGGAGATTTGCGAGTGTGATGATGTTGAAGTATATCTGGAAACCCTAGTTCTGATGTATTGTGATGATCCAAAAAAGAAGATGATGGGCGAGGGTGTTTCTAAGATCTTGGGCTTACTCAAGGTACCCATTTATCATTCATTTCTTCCAAAATTCCAAGGGTTTTAATCAAATTATATCTGTTTTCTATATCAAAATTTCGGATTTTGACTTCAGAGTGTCCAATTATTCAGATCGACATATGAATAATCTAATTTTATTGCAAAATTCTACAAGTTTCAGATTGTGTAATGTAATAATTCTATGCTAATTTGGATTCTAAACATGATCGATTTGACTTCAAAAGTCAACTCAAGTTGAACTTCATATTCATGCTCCTGTTTGCAGGTATGTGATTCATTGAAATTTAACGATGGGATATCATCATGTTTAGAGTATTTAGAAGCTGTTCCTTGGTCAGAAGAAGAAGAAGAAAGAGTGATCTCAAACCTTCAAGACCTCAATCTCCATAACGATCATGATGTTCTACAAAGAGTCGCATTGGAGCCATCAACATCTTCAAGAATCGATGACATTTTCTTGAGATTACTCGCTGGAGTTCTACAAGCAAAAGACGAAAAAGCCCGTAAAGAGATGAAAACCCTAATTTCCCGATTACTCAAAGAAGACAACAACTCCACATACAACAGACTCGACATCTCTAAAGAAACCCTTTACACCATTTGTCACAAATGTCTTACCTCTCTTTTTCATTGCTTATCTGAAGCAACTTCTTGTGAAGAAAACAGAGGAATGATGAGTGAAATAGCTCGAGAAGCCGATAATCTTGAATGGGTAGTTGAAATCTTAATTGAAAAAAGAATCGGTGAAGAATTTGTGAAGCTATGGTCAGATCAAAACGAACTTGGTGTTCTTCATTCTAAAGTTCCAGTAATGTACAGACATAAAATTAGTAGGATAACTGCTCAACTATGTATTGCAATTGGTAGGGGGAACATTTTGGTACCAAAAGAGACACGTGTGTCTCTTCTTTCAACATGGTTGGAAGCATTATATGATGATTTTGGGTGGATGAAAAGGAGTTCAAGATCAGTTGACAGGAGATTAATTGAAGATGGGATTAGTCAGATCATTCTTACTCTGCCATTGTTGCAACAACAAGCTTTCTTGATGAGTTGGTTTGATCGGTTTCTTGAAAAAGGTGATGATTGTCCAAATATACAGCGGGCGTTTGAGATTTGGTGGAGGAGGGCGTTTGTTAGGCAGCCTGTGGTTGAGCCCCAGTTGCAGATAACTGTTTGTGATTACCCTAGCTGAGTTTGTGGTCAATTTGGAAGGTTTATTAAGTGATATGTACATATGAAGATGTTTCTTATATGTAATTGTGTTATTTGGTTTGGTTGATTTTGGTTAAGATTTGTTCAAGAGATCATAAAGAAGAAGAACAAGAAGAAGAAGATGATGGTGTACCTTAAAGACATTTTAGTGAACAGTTGGTCTGCAATGGGATAAGTTAAAGCCCCATATGTTTATCATAAAATTGTTGTACAAGAAACTAAGTGAAGCCTTGATGTTAATCATGAGCCGTTTTTTGAGATGGTGTCGGTAAAAATTAGAGCATTTAGATTTTTAGGAAGAATTGAGGTGAATTGTTGTTCATTGTGGTTATCACAAGTAATTGATTATATTGTCGTTTAGGGGCATTCTGGGTATTTTATGAATATCAAGAATAATTTTCATATTGACAAAATTGCAAAAATGGTCCCTGTGGTTGTCAAAATTCTGCAGTTTTGGTCCAAAAAAGTTTGATGGTGCACCTGGTCCAATTTTGGATCTTTTTAGTGATTTTGGTCCCTGTACATTTGAAATTACTTTTATACCCTTATAATTTATTTTTTCTATTTTTTCAATTGTTGTAATACTTTAATTAGTTTAATATATATATATTTTTTCATCTTAAAACAAAATAAATAAATAAATATATAACCCACTGCTCTTCCATCTTTATCATAAAACCCATTCATCACCAACTCCACCTCCATAACCGGTGCAACCCTCTTTTGTCCAGAACCACCATCGGCGGCTGCCATTTTGCCTGAAACCACCTTCGACGCCCACCATTTTCGTCGGAAAAACGTAGGAGACTTCTTTATGGGGGAATGTTATTTTTTCACCGGAAATCATAACAGGAAGCGTGAGTTTCATCCAAAACCAAGACATCCGACGGACACCAAAACTCCGGCGAGCACCTGAACTCCAACACAACCCCTATAATCGTCCTCTTCCTTTTCTTCTTCTTCTTCTTTCTGTTCCCCTTTTCCATTTTCTGAAGACGAACACCAAAACTCCTTCGTCATTGTCAACTACTAGCATCTTCGTCACTTCTCCCTCATCCACTGTTCTCCTTTGGTTCTCATTCTCCTATATCTTTTGACCACTCATCGAAACATGGCTTCTAATGGACGAAAATGGTGGAGCTTCTCTAAAATCACGCTCTTTAAAGCCACCGTCAACATCATCCGCCATTGGAGCTTCTTCCAAGTCCTCCTGAACTTGTTTTTGAAAATTAGGGCTTGTGTATGACCGTTCTTCTCTTCTTCTATAGGGGGCTCCGTCTCGTTCACCTTCTCAAGTTAATTTCCGGTGCTCT